ATAGCGCTAGTCACATGGAGCCCATCACTGAAGCGATGCTGAGAAGAACCCTCAGGATAGGCCCATCGCGTTCACAAACACGAAGAGTGTGCGTTTGCAAAAACCGGTCAAAACGATATCCATGTCCACAATTACACCCGATACCTGAAAGTATCCAAGCAATTCCCCTATGCAACGAAGATTCTTATCGCCCATTTTCTTACACTGCTCTCTTGGCAGAAATCTAGAAAGTAATAGTTATATCGAATATCGAACATTAGTCGGAGATATGAGCTTTTCAAAAATATGCGAGCACTGAAGCTATATTCTGGTATGCCTGGTGCACTGTTAAGTGATCATGGAACCGTTAATGACACTAGTCAATGGCTCACTCCTCAACTAATAGAGGCAGCCAACTGGCTCAAGAACAATAACTGCTACCTGAAACCATACTCCGCCTACTCTCAGCCTCCTCAAGCTCGCAACAAGATCCATTCCCAACTGCACAACATGACTTGAACGGCAAACGCCCCACTCTTCCAAGAACGTGATATTATAGTACCCACTACTGACTTTCTAACTGAGATCCATGATGAAGACTTTCACTATAGTCACCTTGTAGCTGGATTCATAAAACTTCGAAAACGACGCTTCCACTCTCCATTGATGACGCCAACCTTGAACCCCTGTTATTCCCTGACTTATTTCCCGATGGGAAAGGACATTATTATGATCAATATAAAACTATTTCAAATAACAACTCAACAGCAGAAGAAACGTATGGTAAATACATAAACCATCGACTCTTATGCATTGACCCACGCTTTCGACTACACCCCTACTGGCCGTCATATTCATACTTGAGGCTTGAAAAGTTAAGAAATCATCAGAACATAATGCGTATTTGGCGCCAAAACCAATACGATAAAATACATCGACCTCCGAGAGCGTCTGAACTCATCGCTCGTAGTGTTTATACAGGAGACTACAGAATTGATGAGTCAAAAACGACTACCTTACCAACATTCGTACGAACAGGAGAGACATACTTTCATGAGAAACTCCTACACGTTAATGCAATGTATGGATTGCCTTCGCGATTTGTCACCCTAACAATGGCAGAGAGCAAATGGTCACACTTAAAAACAATATTACAATCAACTGACAACGGCGATACATCGTCGATTCACAAATCTTTAAATTGTACAAGATTGTATTTAATAACTGATGATGAAATTTAATATGTAGATAAAACATGATTGTGGTTATAGAATATGTAAGTTTCAAAAGCGTAACTTTAATGGTTCTTGAGATATTTGCGATTTTGTGATTTGGGTTGATCGACATTTCGCATTACTATATAAATATAGATATTCAAAAAAGGAAATAGAATTTATGTAACAATACTTACCAAATTAGATAATTCTGTAGATTATTTCTATATCAGACAATAGTCTATATTCGGTAGTTACACTAGAAATCATCGGATATGTAAATCCAAAATAAGTATATGAGCGAGCAGATCAATCGAAAACGGTTTTTCACGAATATCTCGACAACCACTGATGCTGTGATCTTGAAATTTACATATTTTATGACTATGACATTGTTATAACTGCTGCTTAAAAATCGATAGAGGTTATTATGTACGATTTGTGATAAATCCAATTACAAGATTGAGCGCTGTAAATGATATTGAAGTTGGGTATTGATCTTTAAATTGTGAAAAATTGTACGTAATAACTGGTTGTGAAATTTAATATGCGGATAGTTTATAATTGTAATTTGAATAATTCCAATTACAAGATTAGTCATTATGATCGACGTATCATCGATTTACAAATCTTTAAATTGTACAAGATTGTATTTAATAACTGATGATGAAATTTAACGTGCAGATGGGGTATGATTATGATTATAGAATATGTAAGTTTCAGAAGCGTAGCTTTGACGGTTCTTGAGTTATTTGCGATTTTGTGATTTGGGTTGATCGACATTTCGCATTACTATAAAAATATAAATATTCAAAAAAGGAAATAGAATTTATGTAACGTTACTTATCAAATTAGATAATTTTGTATAATAATTAATTAATAAATTCTGTTCCAGTTAATTAATATTATGTCAGAAATTTGATTTTTTATCGCAAAAACTCAAAAAATTGAAAAAATTAAACAACTTTGTTATTGTGTTGTATTGTTTATCGTATACAAAATCGCACAAGAGTTGTACAATATTTATGATTAATAAATACAATCGTTAGATTGTTTCAAATAACTGTATTATTAATTCAATTCCCATAGGATGTTAGTTCGTTGATTCCCATAGGAACATACAAATATGGAATACTATTTAGTAATATCAATTCTAACAACAACATCTCTTTCAATTCACGTTTTATATAGGACTTTATTAATATTAACGAAAAAAAAACAACGTAAAAATAGATTGGCAAATTGTCATTCTTGTCGGCGAATTTGTTGTTGTTGTTGTCGTTGTTGTTGTTGTAAATAATGTAAACAACAATTAATAATAGTTTCTCTAACTACCGGCCAATTTTTTCTATTTATATCTTTTAAATAGGCAGGTTTTACGTCTACATAAAAAACGTCTTTTTTGATATGACGCTTCCATTCTTCTCTATACTCTCCCACACCGACAGTATTAGCAACTATTAATCTAACCATCTTATAATAGATCCTACAGCCGCTTTGAAAATTGGACATATTTCTCGTCCATGGTTCTCCTCCATGCATAATAACGGCTATAAATCTACACTCATTACTACCTATTTTCGATGATGAATTTTGACATAAATTATACAATTTCTCTACCTCGCACCTTATATCATCATCCGTATTAGATACCGGATGTGGTATTAACTCGATGATATTATCATCTATCATAACCTTAATAATTTTTTCCGCTGTAGAGATAATGTCTTTTGCAGCACGAAGCTGCGAATCGTTATTTACAAGCAAAATTATTTCATTACTACACCCAGTACTATCATTATTCATATCATTATTATTGAAATTATCAATTTCAATAATTATTCCATTCGATTTACAACGATTAATTTACTATCTTCTATTTTCATTGACTCTAAGTCATGTTGTTTTAAATAATTGCGTATAGACGTTATATTTTCTTTAATATATGATGGAAAGTTGAAATCAGTGTTGGTGGTTGACATAATGATTGATAAATAACGGTTCGACAATGATTTATCAAAACTTATATATACTATGAAAACAATAATACAAAATATTTATTATACCTAGTATTGTAAATAAACAATACTGTATTCATTAATTATAAATATGTGTAACATTTGACCTTTACATTGCCGTATAAATCAGGATTTTGTAACGTTAGATAATCCGAAATGAAATATAAAATAACAAATTATATGAAATTAAAAGCGAAAATCGATGTATAACGTAGCATTAGACTTGGAGATAAAATTGAATGTTTTAAAAGTTATCAAGGTATACAGAGCGAAAATCGGTGTATAATACAGCATTAGACTTGGAGATGAAATTGAATATTTTAAAAGTTATCAAGGTATACAGAGCGAGCGAAAATCGGTGTATAATACAGCATTAGACTTGGAGATAAAATTGAATGTTTTAAAAGTTATCAAGGTATATAGAGCAAAAATCGGTGTATAACGCAACATTAGACTTGGAGATGAAATTAAAATTAAACATTAGAATTAGAGACAAATTTGAATGTTTAAAACTATCAAAAGTCAAGACACTAACAACATCAAGAAGCTAGTCATTAAGGTGACTAGACGACGTCTTTATAGTAAGTTGTAGTAAGTACAGTATAAGTTAAATCACATAGACTTTACGAATAATAAATGTCATCTCGTACGCACATCCCACAGATCAGACTATTCAAGTGCCATGTCTCACATCTACTATTTAATAAATTACGTAACTTTTGCAGTCCAAACCACTTAATTTGTGGTTTTAAGGGCCGACGCTCCAAGACAAAACTGAAGTAGAACTTATTTACGCATCATTCTATAATTGTGACGATATACAATAATTACAGTATTGAATAATGTAATGTAGGTCTCGCTAATAGAATGTTTGGCTTTTGGTAAATAAAACACCGTTAAGGGTTATCCATGATAAAAGGATTCGTTTTAGATCCATTGTGTAACACTCCGTTGACATACTAGTCTTTTTAAGCATTACACCTCCGTGTGTACGCCCACATTTTAGGCGGTGTTACCATGTGTTACTATTACTACAGTCAACTCTTTTTATAACGACCTTCTTTATACCGACTGGTGCCCTATAATGACCACATGTGCTTTGCCACTTTCAATCACTATTAAAACCAGCTGTTTATATCGACCAGTCTTAGTATTTTTTTATACAAAAGTCCGACCGACTGGTCAATTAATAAATAAATTACCGTATACTATAAAATATATTTGTGAAACTCTTTTTATAGTGATCGGTAGTACAATCGATAATAATTTTTATTTTCTTAGAGCAGCAAGGGGATAGTTTTAGCGTAAATCCTAATGATCTGCTCAGATTGAGATACTACATTAAGAGAGTTTCTTTCGAGCGTAATAGGGCAAAAAAGCAAACGAAAATTCAAAATTATATTCCTGATATAAGCTAGTTAGATATATGCCAAAAATGATGGGTTACTGTAATAAATAATAGTGATATTTTGAAAAATTTATTTAAGTCCGCTGTTTATTACAATAATGACATTATATAATATATAATTGTACTACCGCTGCAAATAACGACCGCTCCATATAACGACTGATTTTGTCCAGCCCGAGGTGGTCGAGTTGACTGTACATGATATTACACGGACAATAATATTACATACTAAATTAGTGGCTTCAACTTTGGATATTACAAAATATTATTTAGGAAACTGAAATTTTCTTATAAAAATGATGGCACTGATAGCATGTTGGAGTATCAACCGAAAAATCTTAATTGACTAATTAGCAACTACAACAACTATGAAACACCCAGTTTTTTTTCTATTCTTTGTGTTGGTTACAACTTCAGTAATTAATGCTATTCCGTATGGATTAAGTAAACGAGCTACCCAATTTTATCCATGTTACGACGAGGACTTTCCATTTCTTGACATATCCATGTCACCCAATCCCATTGTTTCTGGCCAAGATGTTACTTTTAGCATTTCCGGAACCGCAACAACTGACTTTGACAAAGCTTTATTTAGAATTATTTTTTCCGACGGCCAGTTCTATGAAGACGACTTCTGTAAACTCTATAAATCATGTCCCGTCAAAAAAGATACTAAATTTGATTTCCCGTTCACAATTAAGCCGGAAACATTGCCAGAGACTTATAGCATTGTCATCAATCTACTCAAAGATTACGACCAACTGGCCTGCGCTACGACCGACCATTAGATCTTCACCATTGAATAATTTAAAATTAGAACGCATTTTACGACTGTTATTGTGGGAAACTCATAAAATGTTGAGATTGTATTTGTATTCTATGTTCAATTAAAATTAGAATAATATCTTTCCTGCGCCCCTTCGTGTTTGTTTTACATGGACTTGAAGATTGTATTTTTGATATAATGCTATAAAAAGATATATATTTCACTGTTTAATATTTGGCAAGTTTAATCTTGCGAGTGCAATTTCAAATTTTTTTTTAAAAAAACGTAGTTGGGGGACGGTCGAGTTTGAGGAGGATTTGTTCGGTTGTTGGTTTCAGTAGACGATCGATGTTAGAAGTAGCTGTTTCCTGGTTTTTTTTCTTGATTCGAAACACAATTATTAGCGTAGTCTTGATTTCCACGTACATTTTCAATCTTATTACCCATAAAAAGGTATTCCCCAACTACATCTAGATCGGACGACGAATTCAAATACTGAACACAGCATCATTAAGATATATCTTGCTAGTAAAATGCAACTAAATTGATCGATTACTGAATAAACAAGTCATTAAAATTGTTAAGATGAGCTCGTTCAGCAACATATTCCTTAATATCACAAAGGCTTTCCGTGACATCAATCCATCTATTGACAGTGTATGGCATATGCTAATGTCGATGACATGCTTATTCCCTTGAAAGTCAAACCAAACTCAAATAATATGTCTAAGCCTCCCAACGTTCTTCATGATAAGTCTGCTTCTTTGTTCCTTCCTAAAGAATTTCAGAATTACACCTGTGGATATGCATCTCCTGATGGTTCGCAAGGTAATGAGTCTCTAAGCTTGGATTGACAATCTCCAATTTGATGAAACATGCAGACTATTATCTTGGACTTCCCATATTCCAAAGTTATTGGGCTTGGAGCAATGAAGTGATGCTTGCTGATAATGATGCAAATGAAAAATACCTAAAGGCAGCATATTACAAAATGGAACTAAAACATATGTGTTCCCAAAATTCATACTCTCCTCTTTTAGCCCTTTATGGTTTGAGTGAAGTCATCAAAAATCCAATACAATCCATATTAATATTCCTAGGCCGCAATCATGGTAGTAATAGACTAATCCTGTCTCAAGATTGTGAATTGGTTAGAGATCTAATATATGTGATATGAGTAAATCTCAGTATTAGAACTAAAGAAGAGTTTGAAAAATGGTGTGCAAATCCAATCCACTCAGAAATTGGCAAGAACAATGATTGAACCAACCACTCATGTAGGTGAATTGATGGCTGGATTGGATTCCTTGACAAATTTAAATACAGAATATGAAAGTGATGATTAGCCCTGCAAAGGATGTGGACATTATGTTAAGTTGTGAAGATGTGTTAGAAAAGCTTGTAGACATGAATACATTTAATCAAACAACTACATACAAATGGAAAGATTCATACTACTCACATACCTGGCTTATAGACACTGCACTGAATGAGCCCGAAAACCCAGTCAAAAAACCCTAACCAAATACTTCTACTGCTCAGGTTGTATAGGAGTGAGCAAAGAGTAAGTGTACAGTAACAGGAGGAAGATTCACCATAAAGAAAGAAGAGTTAGAAAAAGAACATAAAACAATCATGCTGGCAATAAGATTTCTCAATGAATGTCATCCATGCATACATATCAGAGGTGGCACATATGGCCAAACACAATTGCTTGCTGTTCAGCTTCTAAAACCAAAGGAAAACTATCTGCATATCATTCGTGCAAATGCTCTCACCAAATTGACATCTGAGTGTCAGCTAACTGGAAATAGGCAGAATGTTCTGACTATCTATTCTGCATGACATATGCGAGTGAACACAGACAAAATATACCCTTTAGCAGATCAGTTTATAAGTGTGGTTCAAAAAATCAATAGAGATGAAGCAAATGCTTACTTAACACAAAATGGCAAGGATGCTGAAAAAAGAAGTATCCGTGGGTATACACAAAGGCCTGTTGAAATAGATCCATTATCAGTGTCAATTTATAATGAAGCCTCTCTACATTATTATCACCATTTTGCAAGTCAAAATCCTGGAGTATTTATAGATTACACTGGATTGATGATCCAGTAAGTTATTGTAATGCACATTGTCGTATGTAGGCTTATACTCACCCATACATATCATTAGGGATATAGATAAATTCTTCAGTCATCAATCAAGCCACAGAAAAGAATGCAAGCCAAATAAAATTTTGAACACCATTATCACTATCCCAACAGGAAACTCAAGGATAGAGAGTGAAGCTCCACCTGCACTTATTGCTGAATATATCACCACAGACTTCTCAGCAGATCATCTTGCTTGATGCCTAGATGAGTTCCATAAAAAAGAGTTAGAAATTTTTAAGTCAAACACCATACCTTATCTAATCAGATTGTGCATGTGGTATTCTTTGTGCCATTTTAAAAGAATCACCTAAAGAAAACAAGAGACCAGATCCACAGAAAGTAATTGTGGCATGGTACTTTGGCCACTGTATAAAGTTTGCATCACCTCTCTTCATTTCATTATTTTCATGCATGCCCATTTACCCTGCTTGATAAAAAATTTTCATTTATGTTAACAGAGCAATTTGTAAGAACTTTTAAGACACTTGAGGAAGCTGAAGAAGAGTCAAAGTGATGGGATTGGCTGCTGGGCATTGAGAAGTTTCACATTACAGAAACTAATGTAAACATATGTAGTGCATCCCCACTCTCCAAAAGTTACAACATATCTGATGATACAATGCTTTACCACTGAAGAGTTATACATTGAACAAGATAATCCTATAGATTTGAATCAATGGCAAGTGGGGAACAGTCCTCAGTTAGCAGTGACATACCATCAGCACATGTTTGGCAATACTAATACTCTGTCAATGGCTCTGAAGTATTCAAAGTTGTAAAATCTCTTGGTGGTGTAACTGAAAAGAAAAAAAAAACAGACTGATAAGTTTCCAGTTAATACTACAGTCAGGAGTTTTACCCGATTTGGGAGATGCAGATCTCACCTTTTTATAGTAATGAAAACATTCGAGAAATTTCTA